TACGTTTTGATACACTCAATATTTCGAAGAAAAATCTGTGGCTGGCCAGACTACAACACGCGATAATTCGAAATGATCTAATAAAACTCTCGACAATTCAAACACTCACTATCACGAAGAGTCCTGTAGCAAACAGGTTGGAGCTTACATGTTTTGTGTTGTATTGTCTCTGCTTGTCTTCTCTGTAACGTAGCCCCTTTGATGACCATCGGCGTCTGACAGAAGCTGAAATGTCTGAAAGCAAACTACGCAACTCTTCCCTTCAAAATCATGTGGATGCGGACATTTTTCAAGCTTCATTTGTTCTAGAAAAATCTTTGGCAAAGTTAGATTGAATGCCATAAAGCGAAGAAAAAAAAAGATTTTTTCGTTGAAAAAATTATGTACAGTATGTTTCTTTTAATAGCTGTTTTTAATATATAAATGTATTCTTTAAATACCAGACTTTAAACTTCTGTATAATATTTATACTGTATAATTAGTACTTTTTTAAATACACTTTAAAATAATTTTATACATATGTACAATTGTTTTATTACATGGTTTCAAATTTAATTGTTTTTCTCTTCGTGTATTTTGGGAGTTTTTTCCCTACCCTCTTGATAACTCAAACTCTTGATAATTCGAAGTTTTTCATTGGTCCCTTCAACTTCGAATTATCGAGAGTCGACTATATTATATTTTATAAATATGTTATTTTAATATTATTAATAAATATTTGTTATATATATAATTATTTTGTATTTTAAAAAATAAAAATAATTACAAAAATTATACTTAAAAAATTTTTAAAACCTTTTTTTACTTTAATGTATTTAATTGTGAAAACAATTAAATGAATTTATTTTTAAAAAATCACGGATTGACACGCGGATGACTTGAACCCTATTCGATCACGTGGTATGCAGATGCGATACCTCTTAAGCTACTGTGTCGCTGTAGGTGATTAAAATTTATTTGTAAAGAAGCTGAGTATTAATTTCGAAGGCTAATTTATCGGAATTGACTGTTCATGCATCTCTCCTTTTATGAGGGTTGAATACCCTACAGAACTGTTACACAAATGTACCCTACTGTTACACAAATTCCTGAACCCAAAAGAATGTCGCATGTCGTGTCCTTCCCTGCTTTCTGAAAAGCCTGACTTCTAACATCAATTCAAAAGATAATAGCCTATCCCCTCCCCAATACATACACCTGTTTAAGAATTCTACGTTTGCCAGCAATGTGCACACGTGTATACATATTCAAGATTATCCGGTTTATGAGGGGGAAAATGCATGAGTTCTTATTCCGTGTGCCACATTTCAAATATTTCATCAATCTACCTTAAATTTCCATCAATATTATTAGTTACATGAATCTAGAATTTAGTAACACTAGTTTTTCTTCAAAGAAATAAATTAAAAGTAAATTTTTTTTACGTTATAGAAATGTAATTATTTTTTAGACAAAGTTAACTAATACAGTCAATAGCGCAACGTTATGAAATTCCAGTTTGGCTGAAAACCAATTTTCAATGCCAACTTTTGTCATTGTTGTAACAATAACATTATTACAACAATGCAGACATATCGAAGTTAGTGCCCAAAACTAGTTTTTTAACGTTTTGAATTAATGTATTTTTGATTAATTACAATATTGGAATATAAATGGTCAAAACATGCATTGTCATCCAAACTAAACGTGTATTCAAAATTTCAGCTCAATGGGTTGAAGATATCAGCTTCAAAATTGACTTGCAAGATTCCACCCGAACAAATTACGTACATACATACATTGTAAGTTAAATAAAAGCTTGTAAAATTGTACAAATACTGACGCAATAAAAGATTAAACTTTTTCAAAATTAATGTTACGAAATAAGATGAAAATGCCTTAAAAAGGCCTTAAATGTATTTTAAGTACCTATGAATTGTATTTGATAGGTCAATAAAGATTAATTAGTGCAGAACTAGACGTCTTTCAGAGACAGAAAGGTGGTGATATGCCATTTGAAAGTTAATTACGATTGATGAAGGAAAAGCCACACCTAAGAAACCTTCCAACTTAAAAAATATCATAAATATATATTATTGTTAATTTCTTATAATATATTTAATCAGATTTTTTCTTTTTGACGCATCGAATATTTTGAAATAACTTGTTAGATGTACACAATTTACAAAAATATTTTTGCAATGAAAACTGGAATCAGTTATTTTATTTGATTACTTGATATGTATTGCTTCTAAATGTTATAGAAATAGTTTTTTTTTTTTTAAATATAACTTAACCGTGAAATATACGGCTTATAATGCACACTTTTAAAACAAAAAAAATATCGAAATTTAGTGTTGCGCGTTATACACCGAATATAAAAATGATAGCTTTAAAAATAAGAGACGGGAATAAAATTTTTTATTTTTCTCTATATATGGATATATTGTTTATTAAAACAAAAAAATTACACCTAAAAGGCTGTAGTTCTAGAAGTATGCTATTTTTTCAAAAGTTTAGAATAATACCTCGAATAAATGACTTCAAAACGTAATAGAATAGCACATGTACATTTCAGATTTCTTCGTTATAAGGGGGTTGCGCGTTATACGATGAATATACCTAAGAATTTAAAAATGCAACTTGAAAGTGTGCGTTATACAGTGGTGCGCTTTATACACCAGATTTAACGGTATATATTAATCTACAAACAAATATATTTCTATTAACCTTGTGTGGGTTCTTTTACTGATTGGTATGTTCGAATGGATAAAAAATAATAACAGTCGATTTTTGTCCCACCTATTTATTTTCTTCTTTCTACGGGACACATCACAAAAACGAATAAATTATGAAGATGTTAACAGATTGCAAAATCTATCGTCCAGCAGTCCTTTTTTTTCTCCAACCACGTTTTTCTTGTCTCCGGCTCTCTGAATTCCGCTGCCTTCATTCTGCCGCGTCCGGTTCTGTCTTGCCTGGTCTGTTCTCCCCTCCTGTTGATTGTGGTGAATCTGTGGGCATATGGGCTGCGAAGCAGCCCTCCATCCCATATCTGGATTGCTATGATGTGGAAGATGGCGAAAGTGGGTTTTTTCCGTCTGCGAGATACGTCTTGGCGGTTGATTGACAGGACTAGTCCGGTAGGCATGCCTATGGTGATGGAAATTCTCTTGAATTTCTCACTGAGAAAGTTGCTTGGGAGAGAGCTGAGAGGCTGCTCTCTGTTTGAAGGCTGGGGGGGTGAGGAAAATGACTCTGATTGGCTGCCCTGGGGTCTCAAAAAGTTAGAATCGGGAAAGTGGGAGGAGCTTGTCCAGTTTGCATTTTAAAGTTAGGAGTGAAATAAAAAGTTAAAAGTTAAACGAATTAAAGTTAAAAATAAAAATACTGAAATGAAATAAGTTAAGAATTTAGAAATTGTGCAATAAAAAACCTTTATTGCATGAAACTGAGATGCTATGGAGGATTGTAGGAATCTAGGAGAATTCTCCTAGGCCTTTTAGTTTTTTCATGAGCATCATAAGAATCTAAATTAATCATGTTGCTATTATTGGTATGCTGAGGAGAGTTAAAGAAATTAATTGCTATTTTTTTGGATATGCTGCTTGAAACTATTGATTTTAAGGGCGTCTCTAAGGTATTCGTTACGTATGTATCTGGTTGCTTTAGTTAACATGCAAATATAGTTATTTTGAACAGTTTCTAAAATTTTAATGTTAGTATTTGCAGCATATCCCCAAACTGGACAAGCGTAGGCTATGATGGGGCGCATAACGGCTGTATAGAGAAGCACTTTGTTTTCTATACTTAAATGAGAGTTCCGGGAAATTAGGGGCAAGAGTTTAAACATTACTGTCCGGAACTTATCGCGAGCCTGTGTTATGTGTTGTTTCCAAGTTAAGTGAGAATCGAAAATAACGCCTAAGTATTTAGTTTCTTGAGACCATGGAATCTGCTTGTTGTACATAAACTCCCTTCCTGTTGCTGGGTCCCTCTCTCTATATATGCCTGACCCACTACCAGATCCTCCTATACATGGTCTCACCTGTTGCCAGGTTCTCCCATATATGTTCGATCTATTGCCAGGTGCGGGTATCGGATCCTTACAATTTCTTTCATTTCTATGGAAATTGGTTTTCACATGGAATAAATGCGAATTGAACATAATTTAAAGATTTTCTTTATCTGGATTCAATTCATATCAAATTAAAAATAGTAAGTTATATAACTATTGCACCCTAAAGCTAATTTGAACCGGATGATTCGACGGCATTCCTGGACAATGGAATTCTAGTTGAATCGTGGCTTTGAATCTTAAATATACCAAAGACTATGGAGGATTAATGTATTAGTGATTCTGAATTGAGCGGAATTGATGGAATCTATGACACGACATTCAACTGGGAACTTTAGAACTACATGATAATTTTTAGCATAACTAACCATGTATTTGAGAACCATTGTCGAGGGGGTGAAAATGTCATCTAAGATAGTACCTCATTTTCTTTACTTCCACACACCATATTACGCTAAAATGAGGAAGAAAAGTTTCATTTTGCTTACAACTTTCCAGCCATTTTACACGACAGTCTATGATCAATTCTCATGGGAGACCATGACCGAATAAAAATTATTAAATGAGATTAATGACTTGGAACAGAGGAATGTTGTTTTAATTGAAACAATATGGATATACAATCACATATATGCAAGCAAACAATTTATTCGTCTTTATTTGTGTTTTAGTTTTCAATCTGAGAAGTCGCATTTGACTTTTTTTAATTCATACTATTAGTTAACTCTCTTTCTATATTTATGTATCTTGTTCAAATTTTCAATCGTTAAGAAAATACTTTCTATTTATCCATTCGAGTTCAAATACATTCTTTTAAACTTGTAGTGGAGAACACTTGATGTTAATACAGTCTTTTCGAATATTGATTCATTAATTAAAAAATGAATAAATAGTTACAAACAATAATCCAAAAACATATATAGAAAAGAAAATCGTTCGTTCTATCCCTGTAGCGCAATGAGTAGCGTGTTGGACTTCTACTCCACAGGTCATGGCTTCGAATTCCACCTGGGATGGCCTATTCTAAAAATGTAATTTCTTTTTTACTATACTATTTTATTAGAATAAAATTTAATTATTGAATAAAAAGTAACAAAAAAATAGCTCAACACTATATGTAGAAAGAAAAAAGAAAGAAACGAGCCTTATAGTAGTCGCATATGATGTGTAACATCTGACATGTTATCGTGGTAAATACGCAATAGTGACTTTAATCCTGAAAAAAAATGAATCTGGTAGGATTGGGAATAATTTTCAATAGAATAATTAAATCTTTAATGAATTTTTTTTTTAATTAACTCAAGGAATAATGCAGTTTTTTATCAAAAATATTTATTTTTGTTCAATTTGGGGAAGAGCGGAGACAATAGATTTATGAAAACTAAAATATGACACATATACTTGTGATTTCAAAGTATTTTAAAAATCGTTGAAAAACAGCGTCAATAACTGTATCACTGTTAGTTGTCGAAACATTTCGATCTGTGTTCATGTCGAGCTTGAGTTCATCTTTCAGAAAAGCCATGAGCGGCTCAGCTTCTGGCAAACTGAAGTTAACGTTAAAATCACCATTCAAAATCATGGGAAGCGAGTGATAGTTTTTTTTTAAAGAGCAGAACCACCTTCGCTATACGATAAAAGTACAAAATGCAGGAAATCTTTAATTTTTTAAACTGTTTGATTCGGAGAAATGTATGCGACCTCCAAAATGACTGTTTGTCCATTTTCAAATAAGCATTCTGCCGCATATATGTTCCCAATATATTCACTAACAATACCCAGTCCACTTGTTTGACAATCAATAATGTCCATATATTACTTACTCGTATTTTTTTAAGAATGATGATCTTTGCCAGACGCTTAACAGTAAATATAGTTATTAATATAGTTTACACGTATAAATATAACTTCAGATTTCATACACAACGAGCCCTGACACTTTGACAATTGAGCGTAAGAACCGCAAGTTTATTCTAAATGAAGTCTAATAAGACTCGCTGGTATGGGCGAAGTGGATTTAGAGTCAAGTAAACGAAACCGAGTTTTTGAATTCCAATCTTTTCAAATGCTAAGTTTAACAATATAAAACAAAAAGCTGGTGGCTTGATTGCTACTAGAGTTGGACCTCGATACGAGGGTGGCGAAGAGACACCATCAAGCGCATGTTTGAAAATTAGAAGTATTAGAGAAAATCAAAAGTACCCGTTTACTTAATTAGATTCTTTTTAATCGAGAAATTTTTTTTAATCAGAAATAAAAATATTATATTGACAGCGACAGGAATTAACCTCAAAGTATGAGAATGTGATTCACACTAAAATATTTATTCAAATAATTCCATATTACTGACTCGTATTTTTTTAAGAATGATGAACTTTGTCAGACGCTTAACAGGAAATATAATTATTAATATATAAATATATCCTCAGATTTCACACACAACGAGTGGCCGCAGTAGCCAAGTGGTCTAGGCATCGGATCGTGGCTAGCATGTCATGAGTTCGATCCCAGTACCACTGAAGACCCGCCGCGTAGGGGAGCGATGCACGTTAAATCTGTGGAGAGCTCAAACGTCCTCCCGTTGGTGTGGTGTGATAGTTAGGAGAGGAGGTTGCAAGCTCAGGTGTCGTCCGCATCACTTGACCACGGTTCAAAATTACGCGGACTGTCCCCAAAAAGCCCTCGTGTAGCTGAACAGTGGGACGTTAATATTCACTCACTCATTCACGCACAACGAGCCCTGAGACTTTGACATTTGAGCGATTTGAGCCTAAGAATCGCAAGTTTATTCTGGATGAAGTCTTATAAGACTTGCTGGTATGTGCGAAAGGCTGGCGGCTTAATCGCTACTAGAGTTGGACCCCGAGACGAGGGTACCGAAGAGACACCACCAAGCGCGCTGATTGGTCAAATCAAAGATCTCGCGCTTCCCCGACTTCCTGTTACGCATTTCCGTCCCTTTTCACGAAATCGCTCCAACAAATATCCAGCAACCGAGAGTTAAGATGTTACACATCAAAAATGAAAAATTGAAAGGAAAATCGCTTTCTATTTTGTCATTATTGTGATTCTGTCATATGTATATACACTCAAGAGCCAAAACATTATGACCACCCCTACATTTTGCAATAAACTCACCTGGATGACGTGGAAGGCACGTGATCAGGTGGAAGTGGTATTTAACTGCTGCTGGAGAGTCTGAAGAATCATTCTTTCACTTACTTCTGTGTGTGATGGGAAAGGCTGCGGATCTAAGCGACTTTGATAGACGGTATATTGTAAGAGCTCGAAGGCTCGGAACAAGTATTTCGGAAACTGAACGAATCGTGGGTTGTTAGCGATCTACAGTTGTTAGTACTTATGCAAAGGGGATGAATGACGGTGAAACCAGCAGTAGACGACATGGTGTTGGACGTCCACACGCTATCAAAGAAAAAGGTCGTCGGAGACTGTCTCGAATGGTGCAGCAAAACTGGAGCCAGACAGTGGCTCAGCTGACAGCCCAATACAATGCAGGGCCAAGTAGAATAGTATCGGAACACACTGTTCAGTGGACACTGTTGGATATGGGGCTACGCAGCAAACGTCCCACTCGTGTGCCTTTGCTGACCGAAGGTCATCGCCGCCTGCGCTTGGCCCGGGAACATCGTTACTGGTGCATGGATCAGTGGAAGACAGTTGTCTGGTCAGATGAATCACGGTTTGGGGGGGGGGGTCATTCATCACGCCGATAACCGTGTCAGGATACGCCGTCTTCCAGGCGAACAGTTGCTCCCTCTATGTACAGTAGATCATACATAGGCCGGTGGTGGCGGTATTATGCTTTGGGGGACGTTCTCTTGGGGGTCTCTGGGACCCGTGGTTGTGGTAGAGCAGACCATGAATGCTACAGGGTATCTGAACATCATTGAGGACCAGTTGCACCCTTACATGGCCTCTGTTTTTCCAGCTGGAAATGGAATGTTCCAACAGGACAACGTCCCGTATCACAAGGCTAAAATTGTGTTAGAGTTGTTCCAGGAACATGATGCTGAATTCCAGTTAATGTCCTGGCCGCCTAACTCACCAGTTCTCAATCCGATAGGATTGATAGGATTAGGAGAGGGGGGATGTCATAGGACGGCAGCTCATAGTTCAAAAACCACCAATTCGCAATAGCTTGGATTTGCGTAACTGTTGCTTAAACATCTGGTACAATTTGTCTCCGGCAATCGACATTATCGGCTCACGAATTCGAGTCGGATATAGTCCTGATCCTAAAAGCCCCTCCCACGTAAGAGGTTGATGCACTTTAAACATGCTGTGTGTGTGGATCCAAGTCCTCACTTTGGCGTGGCGTAAGGTGCAAGCTGAGGTGCTATCATCCTCACTTGACTAGGGTTGTCTTAAGGCATTGGCCAACTGATCCCGGGTCCAAGGCCTCTGCTTCGGAAGAGGGCTTCAGCTTGGCCTCAATAATATCATGATCAAATAATTTTAATCGTATGTTATTTCCGGATATATTCTCCGAAGAACTGCTGATTTTGAACTCGATGCCAACGGACAACAGTGGTAAGGTTGTATTATTATGTCGTGTTAGTGTCTAGGCCTAGGCATACCACTATACACCATCATTACTCAGTTATCCAAAGGCGGCGTGCGTAGGTTTGTGAGATTGTGAGTCACGCATATTTATCAGTTACCGTTTGTACTAGTATTTGGCAACTTTTGTTAAAGGGTTGCTATTGGGGCTAGGCAGAAAGTTTTATGCCAATTGGCATATAGTGGCAAGACTATATTATGTAATGTCTGTCGTTCTGCCTAGGCCTACAGCCATACACAACCCATACGCCCATACTCCACTGGTTTGTTCCTAGATTTTGGAATGTTAGTCACGCATAAATATTTGTTATGGATTATCGTTTGTATGTTATATATTGGCTATATAAAAGGGTCGCAAGTGGGACCTATTTTTACATAGGGGCCCAGGGCCTCAAGAAATTTTGTAACCTCCCTTGTCTACTCTCGGACCCGGCTAGATGTGTGGGAGGAACTAATTGATCAGACGACATGATTCACTAAAATTATTTATTTGTCACAATGTTCAACTCAGACACAATAATAATCCAATTAAGATAGTTTTTATCAACAACTAGAGTGCGAAGGTGAGACCAGATAGCATGGGGATAATATTTACGTACATTCAATTATATTCCTACGATAACTTGTACAAGCTCGTTTTTAACTCGGACGCACACTAACAATTTACTCTCTAACTTCTATTTAAATAATGAGCACAGTACCTGAACTCTTGTAATTCAAAATCCTAAGATGAGGCCTTGAACACTAATAGTTGGCTTGGTCACTTCACAACCGAGCTATCCTCACTTTGGTAAACTTCAATTCTCACTTTAATAATCTTAAATTCTCCCCTACCTAACTCTTAAAACTCGCGAATGCAGAATTTATTTAATAAACTTAATTTGCATAATCACGTTTTCTTATCTTCGGTGAAAGTTGGTTGAAATAATACTTTCCCTTAAAGAATCCCCAAGGAGTTAGTTAGAGGCCACGTATAGATCCGTCACAAGCTTAAGACGTCCTTTCGCTTGAACATGGCTCAAAACTATGAGATCCATACCAATAGCCCTCGAGTAATTTTAAAGGGAATAATAATAAGCATTAATGAAAATTGTCTTCACAGTAAACATATTTGTTTTAAAAATAAATTACGCCAATTTTTTTTTAATTTTCGCCCTTTAAATTCTTTTTAATGAAACAGTGTATTTTTTTTTATTTAGAAATTATACGTTGGTGGTTCTTATTTTAAAAAACCTATATGGTGATTTAAAACTACACATTTGATGATGGAACAGTATATGTTCTCTAAGCTTAATGGAATTTTTTAAAACTTAAAATGATACTACGTTAATAATAAATCTCCCTTGTGAAAAGTCTTTTTAAGAAATATATTTAAGGCTTCTATTTACAACTTTCATGAATTCATGAACATAATTTTTGTGTGGAATTTCCACTT